AATAAACTGTCAACTCATCCACGTGTCTCAGGTCTTCATGTTGGACACTCAGTGTTCTCCAAAGACGCCAAACAGCAAGGACGGCTTTGAACACGCTCAGTCCTGCGTCCTCATCATCGAGATGCCGTCCGACCAGCAGTCCAACGGACACGCTCAGAAGAGGTGACACACACACACACACACACACACTCTCATGGATTTACTGATTCGAATTGGGAGGTCAAAGGTCACTGTGACCTCACTGCATCATGTCAGGTTGGTGGAGGCGGTACCGTCCGTCACCGTCTCGACTCACTTCCTGTTTTTAGTTTCCAGATGTGTTTCTCACTGTGTGTTTGTCTTTCTGCTGCTGTTACAGGAAAATTGGGTAAGACTGTTTTTCTGTGACGTCACTGACGTGCACACTTCTGTGTTCCTGTCCTTTTACTCACTCTGTGTATGCTGCGTGCACGGCTGCGTGCACGGCTGCGTGCACACTGAACGCTTTGTTTAAATGCGTCTCTGCTTCTTTAGGATTCCGTTCCGCACCATCGTGGTGAGTCTTCTGTCTCATCAGGTTCTGCTGCAGAACCTCTGCGACATCCTCCTGGAGGAGTTCGTCAAACAGCCCGAGGGTCACGACAGGGTCACGCCTGTGACCTCTGACCCCAGCAGACCCACGGCCGGCTTCCTGCGCTACATCTCCATGACGAATTTAGCCATAATCTTGGACCTGCTGCTGGACTCTTACAGGTTATTGAAGATTCCAGTGAGATCGTTGATCTAATAACGTTGATCTGATTCAGGGACATGTTCTCGTCTTTATTTCTGCAGGACGGCGCGGGACTTTGACACCCGCCCGGGTCTGAAGTACCTGCTCATGAAGGTGTCGGGTGTTTGTGGAGCAGCGAATCTTTACCGTCAGTCTGCCATGAGCTTCAACCTGTACTTCCAGGCTCTGCTGAGCGCCACCCTCAGTCAGGCCGACGGTATGACGGCTCAGCAGGTAAACAGACATTTCTGCCTTTAGTGTAATTACAGACCTTCACAATCTTTTAAACTTATACTATATATGTAATTATATAAATGTAATCTTCACCATGTGAAATATTTGAGTTTTTCTTTGAAATGTTAATCTCCAGTTTCTGATCTGAGGGTTTTCAACGGTTTCCTCTCTTAGTTTCTCGATATTAAAGAAGCTCTGGATCGTCTCTGTAACGAGCTGTGAGATCATGTTTATCAGGATTTGGGGCAAAATAAACTTGATTCTCTTTATTTATTTTGATTCTATTTTTACATTCAAATGAACTTGTTTGTTCAATTAATTCATCAGTCGTCACAAATCTAACTTGAGTTTCACGTGTTTCCAGGTGAAGAGGATTCTGCACGAGGAAGAGGAGGGTAGCTCCGACTCCTCTCGCCCCGGATCTGCGTCTTCAGAGGACGAAGACATCTTCGAGGAAACGGCACAGGTGACGTTCACGACTTCCTGAACGCCTCCTCCTCCAGTGTCACACAGAAGTTTTTGACATCCTCCTCTCTCTCTCTCTCTCTGCTCCGCAGGTCAGTCCTCCTCGCGGCCGGGACAAACGTCACCCGTGGCGAGCGCCCATCCCGTCGCTCAGCGTGCAGCCGCTGGGCAGCGCCGACTGGGCGTGGCTGGTGAAACGTCTCTACAAACTGTGCATGGATCTGTGCAACAGCTACATCCAGATGCACCGCGACCTGGAGAGCACGCTGGAGGAGGCGGCGCTGCTGAGAGGAGGGGGAGGAGACCACATCTTCTTCCTGCCTCTCTTCCAATCAGAGACTTCTACCCCGACGTCAGTGGGCGGGGTTTCAGCAAGGGAGACACCGTCGGAGGAAGGCGGGAACAGGTGTCAGGTTGCGGACGCGAGCGTGGCATCACCAGGAGACACGCCCACGCAGAGTCCAGGATTCAGGTCTGACTGCGTCACATGACACATCAGCTGACGTAGATTTATTTTCACTATAATTATTATGACAGGAAGTTGAAAACATCTGTTTCGTCTCCTCACAGCTGCACAGGAAGTTTGCCGCATCACTTCCGGACCGGAGGAGAGCGAAGGGACTCCGGCATCACAGCGAGCTCATTAGGAGGCGAAGTGGGTTCGGGCAGGAGAAAGGAATGGTGGGAAAAAGCCGGGAACAAACTTTACACCATCGCCACCGACAAAACCATCAGCAAACTGATGATGGAGTACAAACGCAGGAAGCAGCAGCAGCAGCAGCAGCAGCAGCAGAGCCACGTCAACCTGTTCATGAAAGAGCAGGGCCGCACCGCCGCAGGGGGAGGGGGCATGGGGGAGAGGAGGGGGCCCGCGGAGCCGCAGAGGGCCCCTCAGAGGCCCCAGCAGCTGGTGGACCAGCAGGGGCCGCCACTGAGGCACTCAGTCAGCGCAGGACCTGAAGTCCTGAGGCAGGAGAAGAGGCCGAGGTCTGGATCCACCATCAGCTCCCACAGCATCTCACTGAGAGACTCCGAGGCTCAGATCCAGGTACTTCATAAATACTACATATAGAAATATATATATACATAAATACCACATATACATTACATATACATCATGGACTCGTGGTAAAACCCACCAGGTTCTTATTTCATAAGCTCCAATGTTTACACTGTATTTCATATCAATGTATTTCACTTCCTGTCTGAGTCGTCAGGGTTTAACCTCCTCAGTGTTTCAGATCAGCTGACTCAGAGACAACATGGCGTCTTCACATCATCTGTGTTTCCTCCTCCTGCAGGCGTGGACCAACATGGTCCTGACTCTCCTCAACCAGACGCTCCTCCTGACCGACACCTCCTTCCTGGCGCTCCAGGCGGCGCTCTACCCCTGCCTCAGCCAGCTCTCCTGCCACATCACTGACGCCCGGGTCCGCCAGGCGCTGCGTGAGTGGCTGGGCCGCGTTGGCCGACTCTATGACATCACTGTGTGACGCTGCGGCGAAGGAATGAGACGAAGTGAAGGACGTAAACACACAAAACACAAATCAGAGCGTTGCAGTCGGACGCTGTTTACCGCCGTCTTGTGGCGCCATCGTTGTGGTCGTGTGGATTGTAAGGCAGACTGTGACATCATCAGATCTTTGAAAGATGATTGGCAGCTTGTGAAGACACAGTGACACGTGTGGCATGAGATGATCTGATTGGCCGATGGTTTGTGAATGTAACAGATGAACGGAGACTTTACTGTGCAGTGGATTCTGGGTCCTGTAGTTCACATGCACACGTCATGTTTCATGTTCAGGCTTTTTTCCGCTTCTTGTTTGCTCGGCCGCTGTCTGTGGTCGTCAGGCGTGTGCGTCGCCCTCGTGCACATGGAAACCACAGATGAAGAACCACAGGAGATGAAAACATCACAGTGAACCTTCAGGAGGATCTGATCTTCATTGGTTTATTTTATAAATTGGCATGAGCAGGTTTCATTACATTGTCAGGGAACAGAAATCGTTAGTGACGTTGTTTGTACTTCGCTCGCCCGCTTTAAGAGGCAGAGCTGTTGCTTGTTACCGTGACGACACTCAGATGTTCTGTCTCTTCTAACGTCCTCTTTAGAACTTTGACCACGACATAGATGTCGTCTTTAACTTCTGTCAGATCATGTGACCATAGTAGTGGCTTCTGGGTAACACGTCGTCTTCATATTCTACGCCTCACTGTTTCATACGTGTCAGAGGAGATAAAGTCTGAAACTTGTGACTCCACACAGAATGTAAATACACGCCATGACATCCCAAATATGTTAATTAGCTTATTACATCACCTGGACATTCAGCGACTGGTCACTGAACATTTGGTTTCTGAGTCTTCATCTGCGTCTGGGTCACATGATGGTGAAAGAGAAAACACTTCAGAGTGAGGCATCTTTACATGTGTTGCACTCTTGAGGATCTTTGAACTCGTCTCATTCACGTCATCAGTTCGTTTGATTAAGATATTTATTCTACACGTGTGTATACGTGAACGAGTGAATGAGTGAACGAGTGAGTGAGTGAACGAGTGAGTGAGTGAGTGAGTAACTTCAGCAGCTCAGACCATATTGAGGGCAGACGGGGGGGGGGGAGATTTACTTGTCTTTTTTCATGGAGGTCAACATCGTTTTCTCTTCACCTACTTCTTCCACTCCTCTCTCCACCCCCCCCCAACACACATCCAGGAAGTAGTCCACACCCTCCCTCACCCCTTCCTGCGTCCCCTAACCTCGTCCCCATTTGTCCTTATTCGCTGCAGTTTTAGGGCGAGCAGCGGGCGGACAGATGTTGTCGACCATCAGCGTGATCAGCTGCAGCGAAGAGACGGATTTACTCTGTTAAGTCCATGATGGCGTTTTAAAAAAGCAGTTTGACTAATGACTGAACGACATGTGACCACGCTTTGATTCTTTCACTCGCTCACTTTTCTTATCGTATAAATCTGTTGTTTGACATCGTTGATCCGAGAGCTTTGATGAAGACACATCAAACACCACGATACAAGTTACGTGAATAACAAGTCCAGTTTGTGGAGGATTATTGTTTTGAGCAGATCGACGCTCGCTGCTCGTCTCAGAGCAAATCAAGAGCTTAATAAAAAAGTCAATGACTCGTCACTTTCATGAATGAGTTTGCGTTTGAGCGGCTGTGAAGATTTGACGTGACCCAGACGTGTGACACGGTTTCTAAAGCGGGAGGTCACATGACGGAGAGCGTCACGGAACCAGAGGGAAGAACGTTAACACCAGATTAAAATGTATTTATACAGATTTATTTCTGATCATATACATCGTAGAAACCTGATGGTCAGTGTGATGCTCGGAGTCACTTTAGAAAACATCAGATTTCTGAGCTTCATTTGAATTTAGTTTGGTTCTTCAACACGAAGTTCGTTGAATTTCTGGGATATTTAATGTTCTCAGATGTGTGATGACGCCTCCTTCGCTCTAACGCTCCGTGCTGTGACATCAGCAGCTCGCTCACTCAGTTGCTGTGTTTTTATGAAATGTATCTGCCTTTGATAAAAAAATCTCCTGTTTGATTCCTTTGATGTTTGGCTCTTTTTTGTCCACCTGGTCTGGCAGGTGTGTAACCGCTCTGTTTCCCAGCAGGCCTTGCTGCTCTGTGTGCTTCACAATAAATTGTTAAGAATCATCTTTGTCAGTGTGATGCCGCCTCCACACATCGCCTTGGTAACGATACACATTTCTCAGTATATATATTTATTTATATAATAAACATATTTACCCATAATTCTCTCAAAAGATGTTTAAAGTGAAAAATAAAACCATTAAAGCATTAAACCACTCAAACAGGAAACACGTGTACAGGCGTCACATGACTCTGAACTTTAGTTTGAGGTTTGAGGCTGAAAAGTTTGGAAACTTCTGATAACGACACTTTAAATAAAAAACAACAGGAAGCTAATTATTCATAAAAGTGAAAATGTGACTTTGTTTAAACCTTTGGTGAGAAATTAGAACATTCAACTCATTTAGTTTCATATTTAACTAAATGAGTTCAGAAGGAAAAATGTTGTGACACAAACGTGACTGAAAGTGAGCAGAGTGATGGAAATCTGTTCCACGCATGTGCACACACACACACACACACACACACA